CACCGCGGTGCTCCGCGAGTGAGGCCGGGCCGGAAACGTGGGATCCGAGCGTCGCGTTCCGCCTGCAGGCCCTTCCAGGGCTTCCATTCCTGAGTGCCTTCTCCGCCCGGGGTGTGTGGGATGTGTGTGTGTGTGTGTGTGTGTTTTGAAAAATGCAGGGGGTAAATGGTACAACAGGTCGGCACCAATGCTTGGCATGAAAATCCCGTTAGTCCTTTGGCGTCTGCAGGTCCCCAGCGGACACAGTGTTTAAACGTGGAGAGTTACTAGGGCAAGCCATTTTCTTGAGAATGGAGTGAGAGGAGGAAGGCCCCAGGGCCCATTGCTGACAGCTGATAGATGCGGAGTCATGGCCCCTGGCGCCAAGAGCAGGCATGGGAGGGCTGTGGCCGGCCGCGGGAAGGGGTTCAGGCCGGGAGGCCGGGAGGCCGGGGCGGCTGGGAGGCGGTGCTCCAGGGACAACCCTGAGGCCTCTCGAGCCAGTGGGACGCTCTTGGGAAATTCCGTCCTAAGATAGTTAAGGTTTTATTTCGTTTTGTTTCCAAGTTGCGGCCCCTGAATTTTGTCCCACTCTCCCTGGACCACTTCCGCTTGCCGGCCCTTGCCTGGAAACTTCGGTTCGGGTGACCTCGGCCCCAGATGCCCCTCTGCTCGCCCCTGGCTCACGTCCTGATCGCCGCTTGACTGACCCGAGGTGGGGGACCTGGAAGTTTTAGCCTCGCTGATCTCGAGGCGGATTAATTAGCCCAAGAAACATTATATTCATTTTACTGGATATGCTGCAGAAGGATCCGTGCCAGAAACAAGCCTGTGAAATACAGAAATGTTTACAAGCCAACAACTACATGGAATCTAAGTGTCAGGCTGTCATCCAAGAACTTCGGAAGTGTTGTGCTCGCTATCCCAAGGGAAGATCTCTCGTCTGCTCAGGATTTGAAAAAGAAGAGGAGGAAAAGCTGACACTGAAGTCCACATCAAAGTAAAGTTCTGCGGAGAAGTTCAATGCTGCACCACCTTTCCACCAAGCGAGTTCTATTTATCCTCCTGACTCTTCAGGCCAGGTAGCAGCAAATAGCAAATGAAAAAGTCAACTATAAAAGTTAATAAATATGCCATCTATGCAGAACAGATAGAAATATATTAAACAAATATGTAGAATGTAATAAAACTGAGCTGCTAAAATAAACCTGTTATGTGAAAAAAAAAGAGCAGGCATGGGTGAGCTCCGGGGCGGGCGGGAGGGTGGCCGGGCCCTGTGGGCGAGAGTTACAGGGAAGCAGTTTCTTCTTGCATCTCCCAGGGGGGATGGGTAGGTCCAGCACCTGGGCACCTGCCTTGGGCAGGCTCAGGAGCACACGCTCAGTTGAGTCGTGGCCGTGGCCCTGCTGATGTCGCTGGATTTGGGGGGCCCGGCCTAGAGGACATGTCCTTCCTGGGGTGGCAGTCTGGTACAAAGTTAGGGCGGAAGTCCAGTTTCTGCCCAGCAAGGGGCTCTGGGTTTCCGTATGTGGCAGCCCACCCACAAAGGGGAGGGAACAGGATGCATTGGCAACAAGTTTTCTGCTGCTTCTCCGTTAAATCTCTTAGCTGCTTTGTAGCTCCTGGTCTTTAACCTCCGTGTAAATCCAGGTCTGTGGGTGGACCCGCCATGGCAAAGACAATGCCAGCCCAGGGCCCTTGTCCAGGGCCCTTGCCCACGGCTCTATAATTCCGTGGATTTCAGAGATGCCGTAGTCACGTGGCGCGGGGCCTGCGGAGCCCAGGAAGGCGGCCATCCCATGGCAGCGGGGAGCTCCCACCGCTGGACGGAAAGTGCTGCCCCGGAGCTCAGCACTCCTCCTGCCCTGTGTGCGCAGGCGGGTTAGGGCCCAGGAGCCAGGACAGCCAGGGGGGAAGGGGGGTCCTTTACCTAACACTGGGTGGGGGCCTCTCTCACCTGCTTGAAGGAATTAAAGTCCAATGACTTGAACCGCAGGGATACTGCAGAGCAGGCAGAGCCCCTGGGCCCAGGCAGCCTGGGGAGGGCGGAGTGGGGGGCCGGGAGCAGCAGCTCAGCCCCCGGTGCAGAGGACGGCTGGAGCCCCATTCGGCCCCTCTCCCACCAAACCTAAGCCCCCAGAAGACAGGGTGCATGAGCTTTGCACCCCACTGTATCCAGCAGAAACGCAGCCTGCACATACGAGCGAGTCCCCATAAATACTTGTCGAGTGAGTTCAGGCCCAGGCCTTGGTCTTCTCCCGTGAACAGAGAGGCCAGGCGTCTGGTGACCCTCGAGGCACTAACTGCGTCCTGGTCCCTCTGCCACCCCCAGAGTAGAGGGCGGGGAGGAGGAGAGCTGTGGGCCCACAGGTGCCCTCGGCTAGGCGCCCCGCGTGCCCCTCCGGCAGGCCTGCCTCGTCTGGTGACTCGGGACAAGTCCAGTTGGGAACACACACCTCGGGCATCTTCACAGCATCCCCTCCGGGCACCGCCACACCGTCCCTGCTCCCTTCATGGTCCTACTCCTGGGACCACAGCAGTCGTCTCCCTGATGGGGGCTCACATCCCAGCGCCCTCCGTCAGCCCCGGGGGACCCAGGCTCCCAATTACAGCGTTTCTGACGGAAATTTCCTCACCAACAGGATCTACACAGATCCATCTTTCAGGCCAGCTATAGAGAAATATTCCACAGGGAACACGCTGAGCAGCGGCCCTGAGCTGCCAGGGCTTCCCGCTGCCGCCCCCAAACGGCTCCTGCTGGGAACACAGCCAGGGGCCACCCACAGCACCCCCTCCTTAGGGAGGATGCCCCCCTCCATGCTGCACCCCGCCCAGCCGCAGCCTCCTCAGGCCTGCGGCCAGCTCGGCTGAGTCCCTGGCGCCCACTGAAAGCGCAGACTGTCCGCCTGCCCCAGACCCCGGGCTACATTTAAACCCATTTTTATTCACATTTTTTTTGGTTCCATTCCTGTGACTGTTAATAACTGGAGTTTATACCTTTTGACCACCTTCACCCATCTCACCGCCGCACCGCCGCCTCCGGCAGCCGGCTCTCTGCGGCCCCACGACAAGGAGTCGTTTCCTTTACCTCTCGGGGGGCCGCCTCCTCAGGGGGCTGGGCCGCGTCCAGCGCTCGCTCTGTGGCAGCACTTTCTGGAACAGCGGCCTCACTCTTCTCTGGAGAAAAGCTGAGAGCCTGCGGCACCGACGGAGAAAGACTCCCGTCCGAGGACACGTCGGAGCCTGGGGCCACCGCCTGGCTGCCCCCGTTCCCCGGCGCAGCTCTGCGGGTGGAGGGAAAGCCTGTGAGCGGGAGTCTGTGCGGCTGGTGCTGGGCCTGCTGCCCCTCCCGGGGCAGTTCATCATATCCCCTTGGAGCCTCCTCTCGCCTCCCCGCGGCCTCCTCTCGCCTCCCCGCGGCCTCGTCTCTCGCCTCCCTGCGGCCTCCTCTCCCTCCCTGCGGTCTCGTCTCACCTTCCTGCGGCCTCCTCTCACTTCCCTGGGGCCTCATCTCAACTCCCTGGGGCCTCATCTCACCTCCCTGCAGCCTCCTCTCACTTCTCTGGGGCCTCATCTCGCCTCCCTGCAGCCTCCTCTCGCCTCCCTGCGGCCTCCTCTCGCCTCCCCGCGGCCGCGGCCTCATCTCACCTCCCTGAGGCCTCCTCTCACCTCCCTGGGGCCTCCTCTCCCCTCCCTGCGGCCTCCTCTCCCCTCCCTGCAGCCTCCTCTCACTTCTTTGGGGCCTCATCTCGCCTCCCTGCAGCCTCCTCTCGCCTCCCTGCGGCCTCCTCTCGCCTCCCCGCGGCCTCATCTCACCTCCCTGGGGCCTCCTCTCACCTCCCTGCGGCCTCCTCTCACCTCCCTGCGGCCTCCTCTCACCTCCCTGCGGCCTCCTCTCACCTCCCTGCGGCCTCCTCTCACCTCCCTGCGGCCTCCTCTCACCTCCCTGCGGCCTCCTCTCACCTCCCTGCGGCCTCCTCTCACCTCCCTGCGGCCTCCTCTCACCTCCCTGCGGCCTCCTCTCACCTCCCTGCGGCCTCCTCTCACCTCCCTGCGGCCTCCTCTCACCTCCCTGC